TGATGTGAGTGCCCAGATGCTCTTCATGAGATTGATGCAGCTCTCACTCACCTGAGTGCCTGCTGGAGCTCCCTGTGATGGCAGGAAGGGCAGGTGAGGCCCTGCCATGAGCAGGTGCCACGACCTGGAGACTTTGCCATGGCTGTTGCCAAGAGCTGGTGGGTGAATCCTGCTGTGTGGGACATCACACAGTGCTCTGTGTTTGTCTTTGCAGGTGAAGGTATTTTATCTACTGGGGGGGAATTTCAACTTGTAAGTCAAGGTCTTTCAGTTATTTGGGCTCATCACACTCCTAATCCTTGCCATGACTTGGCATCTTGGAGATAGAGGATCCCTTGTTTTGCTTGGGGAAATCAAGTCCGGTCCCACATGAATGGGACCTGTAGTAGGACCAAAAAACAAGCTTGGTGCTGGTGCTGCTTTTTGTCTTGTTCAGACTCTTGATTTGATTAGAACTTGGCTATCAAGTTTTATCTTGCACCACACGTGATTTTTTTCTCCCTGCTTGCAAATCATACAGAGAAGGATAATTGTTTATCATGGAGAGTTGGAGTCCTTTCCTCTTTGGGTCACAGTGTGCTTGGAGGACACCTCACTGCCTGGCCCAGAAGTTGCCCAGGCTGAGTAAAGCCTTTGTGAGCTTGTAAATGGGTACTTAACAATTAGAAGAAGACAAAAGTTAAACTCAGGGAGAGAAGACCTGACCACTGAGTGCAGACTCAAAGGGGACAGAGCCAGAAGCCTCAGCACCATGACCCATCAAACCCACCAGGCACAGCAAACTCAGAATATCAGGGCTTTGGAGCCAAAGTCTTAGAGCAAGCCTGAGGGAAATGATCTCTCATTAAGAGAGGTCCTTAAGTCAGTGCAATTCCAAACCTGTGGGGGCTGCTCCTGGCTGAATCTTTGATTGCAGCCCCTGTGCTTTGAGACGCTCCCTCTGCAGCTTCTGCTCCTGCTTAAATACACAGGACCTGCTCTCAGTCTGGAGCCAAAAGCTTTTTCATTTTGAAGCCCAGGGAATGTTTAACTCACAGCAGCCCTGACGATTCCTCAGTAGAGGTTTTCCATGAGAACACCGTCCTCACCTCCCTCCTGGGACCTTTGCTTGGGCTGTCTTTGCCTCTGGTTTCACCTGCTGCCGTGGCACTGTGCCTGGCTGAGGTCACTCCGTGCTTCCATTTGGGACATGGGGCTTGGTTGCTTTGGAAATATTTAGTTGAAGGGGGGAATCTGTAGCCTAAAGCCACTTCACTAATGAGGCAAATCTGCAGCTGTGAGTCCCCCGTTTATGGAGCCCAGCTCTGTGCCAGAGGGGTGTGTGCTCCCCACATTGGGTCTCCAGCCATCTCTGTCAGCATGGCTTGGGGCCATAGGGGGAGGTGAACCAACACTCTGTGTCCCATGCAGGTGTTTCCTCCCCCCAGTGCCTTCAGGCTGTCCTCACCCCCTCAACACCCCAATGGTGCCATGCCCTCCTGTCTGGCACCTTTTGGATCCAGCCCTGGCTCTGTCCAGGAGGGTCCCCCCTCACCACCCCCTGTTTGCAGGGCTGCCTTCCAGCACCCAAGCTGTTCTCTCCATCAAGGATGGTCCAAACAGCTGCAGTGTAGGATTCCCCATATGCATGCCTGTGAGAAAACTCTCCACCTTCTCATCCTCCTCCTTCTCCTTGTTCTCCTCCTGCACATCCCTGTGGTTGGGGCTCAGCTGGTGGTGGGGCCACTGCTGCTCCAGAGGGGGCTGCTGAGATGTTTCCAGGAGTGTGTGCTCCCAGGCTTTGTACAGCTGCCAGGAGAGATGTGTCCCATTCCCCTCCTATCCCCATCCTGGATGAGGAGGGATGGCCCCAGGCCCCTCTCGTGTGACCACGGTGGTGGGTTTCCTTCCTTCCTGGAATCCTTCCTGGAATCCTTCCTGGAATCCTTCCTTCCTTCCTGAAATCCTTCCTTCAATCCTTCCTTCCTGGAATCCTTCCTTCCTGGAATCCTCCCTCCCTCCCTCCCTCCATGGACTTCATGGTTTCTCCATGCTGAGTTGAGGATGCTCCATGATGGCATTAGCAGAGATCCAGGAGAGGTTGTGAGAGTTGTGCTGCTGCCCTGACCTTGTCCCGTTTGACCCATAAGCCAAGGCTTGTGCTGGGACTGACCACAGTGCTCCCCTCTCCTGAGGACTGTGTTGGGTAGGGGTTGGAATTTTCCTCATGAATGGGGAAACT